TCAGGCAGCTCTGAGCTTCCCCAGCCTGAGCACCCAGAATGGGTGTCTCAAGCGGAGCCTCTGTTCACTCATCCCTAAGATGGGCCTGATGCACCAGCTCCCAGGGTTGGCTGAGAGGCTCTTATGAGAGGAGATGTGCCAAGTGCTGAGAGCTCAGAGCTCAGTGCGGGGGCTCCCGCATCCCAAGGCTCAGGACCCTAGTCCCCTGCCTGGTCCTCAGGTTCACCCACCTGGAGATAATCACCCATCGCCAGAAGCAGCATCAGCAGGTCACCGAGGAATGTGCCAAGATAAGATACGTCACCCTGTGACACCGGGGTGCACGTGGGATGAGCCTTTGCTCTCAAGTCAGTCCCTACAGACCCTCCCCTGAAAAGTCCTCACCCTCAGCCTCCTGGCCCACACCAGGGATCCCACGGGGAGCAGCCTAGGACACTTAACATCCTCCCCTCAATTCTTCCTCCCTTTACACCCGAAGAACACCACACTCCTCCTCACATCCCAGGGCCGGCTTCTGGCAAATCACAGGGTGTGCGGTCCCTGGCCCTCCCCATAAAAAATCCACCCTGCACCAGCTCTTCCAGGCCCTCCTGATCACTTCTACTGGGGGATTCGGACACTGTGGCACCAGGAGGAAGGGCCCTCATCTCTTGATTTGAGGCCTCCAGCTTGAGGCCAGAGCCCCTCCCCGACAGGCACACTCACCTGCTGCTGCTGCTGCTGCTTCTCCTGCACTCTCTGGGGGTTGCTCTCCGGGGGGCAAACGTGGAAGGTCCCTCCTGTCAGGGTTGAGGACAGTGTCAGCGAGGCCATACGCCCCTCACCCCATTTCTCTCCAGCACCACTGGCATCTGACCCTGGACATCTGACTCGAGTCAACTGGTACCAATGCCACTCCATCCTCCAAGGTGTTGTGATTCTAGAACAAGCCCAGATCCAACGCTCACTCTGGGTGTGAGCTTGGGCTTTTGGTCTGGCCTCCCCGAGCCTGTTTCCTCATCTGGAAGGTGTGAGAACTCCAGCTACCTCACAGGATCTCCGGAGGACTCAATGTCACATGACTGTCATCATTGTTCTAGCCCTCACCCCTCCAGGTGGAGCAGGCAGAAAGCTCCCACATTCCTTTCCTCCCTCTTACCTCATCACCACCCTGTGAAGCCTGCACCACATGATGACCCTCCATTTCCCTGATGAGGAAACAGAGGCCCAAACTGGTGCAGTGAGTTGCTCAGGGGCCCACAGAGGAGAGGCCACTTGCCCCTCCCAGCCAGAGACCTTGTTCCAACATCCTCACCTAACCCCCAACCTCACCACTGACAAAAGTCCTGTCCCCTGAGCTCTCAAATCTTGGTCCTGGACTGAGCCGTGGATGGAGAGGATGGGGTGCTTTTGGAGTGAGGTTGAGTGGCTCTTGCCTGCCCCAGTCCTGTGGAGTGTATGGCCCCCAGGCTGGGACAGAGGCCGTGCCAAAGCCTTCTCCTTGCCAAAGAACCGCTCAGGATATTCCCCTGCACTGAACTCTTTCTTTATCCACTCAAGAACTGGACCCCGAAGGTGTCACCTCTGATCCACAGGTAAGGGGGTGACAGGACGCTTTGCTCCCTCGTTTACATGAAGCTCTTAATGTCTTTTCAGCAGGATCCATTAAGAATCCATCAGTTGCCTAGAGGCTTCTCATAAGCCTGGGGCATATGTCATTGCCAACCAGGCACTCAGGTGAGACTCCTGTGGTTGACTTGAGTGACTGCTCTAGGGGTCCAGTGGGGAGTCCCAGAATGCACACACATCTGTCTCTGGTGCAGCCTTTCAGACCCAAGGATGAGCAGCCTGTTTGTCCACCTGGGCCATTGGAATCCCCTACTGTGCCCGTCCCTGGGGTAGGCAGTGTGCTCTCCCCTTGGAGACATGGTGAAGATAGAAGGAGCAGCAGGGGCCTGGCTTCCTGAGGACAGGCTTAGGCTGAGGGCTAAACCCCCCCTAACCACCCAACAGCCTGGAAGATACTACATCCATCAAGATGGATGTGCATGGAAGCCAGAGACCTGCTGATGGCACCAGCTTGGCAACTCATCCTGGAACAGTCCAGCCAATACTACTGTGTCCCGTGACCAGGGCCTCCTGCCCAAAAACAGCACCCCCCGGCCCATGGACCAAACAGATCCCTCTGCTTGTTAACCTGGACAAGATAGACGGGAATGTTTCAGAGAAAGTTCAAGTCAGAAACTATCAAAACCACAGCCTGCCCAGTCCCACTCCCCCTACCTCTCCTCTCTTTCCAGTCCCCTAGCCTCCGCTTTACCTTGGTCATCAGTTCTCTGCTCAAGGACTCGTCTTGGCTATAGCGCTCCTTGAGTTCTTCAGAGCTCTCCCTGAGTGGAGGGGAAAGAGGGAAAGATAAATTTAGGGATAATGTGAGGGGTCTGAGTGCAAATCCCTTTTCTTTGACAACCCGAGAGATTCAACCTCCCTGGAGGAGTGTTCTCACTGGGATCCACTGAGCTCTAAGGTCTCGTGGGACTGGGAGGGGACTCTCCTGTTGGTCATTGGGGTCTCCACTCCCCAGCTTTACAGAGCAGCTCTCTTTTGACCACTTTGAATTTCAACTGGGGGTAGAGTTCTGTTGCTATAAACACTTGAAAATCTCCAATGTGGCTCAACTCAGTACCTGACATTTAGGGAAACCGAGTCCTGAAGCAGAACTGGTGCACTAAGGACACCAGGAGGCTTAGAGACTGCCCGCCGAGGTCCAGGCCTTGTCCCCAGCATTTGCTACCTCCCAGGAGTTCCTAGCTGACTGAGGGGCCAATGGCAGAGATACAGGAGATCCCCCATCCACCCTGGTCCTCCTATGGAGAGGGGCACTACCCACCCGGAAACTTCCCCTGTGTGTTCTTCAGGTGGTTTGTGGATGTTTTCTGCAGAGCAGAGATGACAGTGCAGCAAGAGAAGTACTTCAGGATCTTGCGCTCCTGAGGAAAGGAAGAGAATGAGCTGTGAGGTGGGGCGCTGGAGTCCCGCTTGCTCTAGCTTCAGTCCCCTTCTATTTAAATCTCCTCTTCTGGATGAGACAGATGCTCAGGGAGCCCCAGAAGGGCACATTTAGGACCCAAAGAGTAACACTCACAGGGAGGAGGATTTTAGCTCAACCCAGGGAAGGAGTCAGGTAAGAAGTGAGCATCATCCCACTGGGACCTGGAGTCAAGTTCAGCGGTCCCCTGGCAGGAAGGGCCTAGAGACTGTGCAGGGGCTTAGACCACACACTTCAATCCTGGGAGCTGATAAAGGTGGAGAGGCAGTTCCCAAAGCTCCAGAGAGGGGCTCCACTGGGCCTCCCACAGCACACCTGGGCCACCTGGATCCAGCGCTCCACCACCCTCGCCCTGTCCTGGGCCGTCATGCTCTGGTCCCCAAGGCACGTGGTGACGACGAGGCTGGCCACCCTTCTGATGTGGTCGATGGTGGCCTGGAGAGTGGGTGCCAGGTGTTCATTGCCGGGATTGTTCCTCTTGCCCCAGGTGGAGCCCAGGCACTGAGAGGGCAACACCTTCCAAAATAGCTCCTGGGGAACAGGGGGAGTGTCACCCAGCCCTGCCAAATTGGCAGTTCTGTGTCCACAGCCCCCAAAGTCCCACACAGGGGTCACAGTTTAGAGCTGGAGCTCAGGAAGCTCAGGATGTGGCCTGAGCCTTGTGAGATTCCCTGGGTTTTCTTCCCTGTCCACCGAGGACACCCGGCACAGGATGACCTAGGACCCAATACTGACAGGGAAGGGAGAGGGTCATTTGCACCCACCCTGTCCTGGATAACTCCAAGCTCCAGATGGTGGCTCAATTCAGCTCATCACAAGGCGGCATCTTCCACCACCCTGATACCT